TGGGTGGTGCTGTGTGTGGTCGGTGTGTGGGTGGTGCTGTGTGTGATTGGTGTGTGGGTGATGCTGTGTGTGATTGGTGTGTGGGTGGTGCTGTGTGTGGTCGGTGTGTGGGTGGTGCTGTGTGTGATTGGTGTGTGGGTGGTGCTGTGTGTGATCGGTGTGTGGGTGATGCTGTGTGTGGTCGGTGTGTGGGTGGTGCTGTGTGTGGTCGGTGTGTGGGTGGTGCTGTGTGTGATTGGTGTGTGGGTGATGCTGTGTGTGGTCGGTGTGTGGGTGATGCTGTGTGTGATTGGTGTGTGGGTGGTGCTGTGTGTGATTGGTGTGTGGGTGGTGCTGTGTGTGATTGGTGTGTGGGTGGTGCTGCGTGTGATTGGTGTGTGGGTGGTGCTGTGTGTGATTGGTGTGTGGGTGATGCTGTGTGTGGTCGGTGTGTGGGTGATGCTGTGTGTGATTGGTGTGTCGGTGGTGCTGCGTGTGATTGGTGTGTGGGTGGTGCTGTGTGTGATTGGTGTGTGGGTGGTGCTGTGTGTGATTGGTGTGTGGGTGGTGCTGCGTGTGATTGGTGTGTGGGTGGTGCTGTGTGTGATTGGTGTGTGGGTGATGCTGTGTGTGGTCGGTGTGTGGGTGATGCTGTGTGTGATTGGTGTGTCGGTGGTGCTGCGTGTGATTGGTGTGTGGGTGGTGCTGTGTGTGATTGGTGTGTGGGTGATGCTGTGTGTGGTCGGTGTGTGGGTGGTGCTGTGTGTGGTCGGTGTGTGGGTGGTGCTGTGTGTGATTGGTGTGTGGGTGGTGCTGTGTGTGATTGGTGTGTGGGTGGTGCTGTGTGTGATTGGTGTGTGGGTGGTGCTGCGTGTGATTGGTGTGTGGGTGGTGCTGTGTGTGGTCGGTGTGTGGGTGATGCTGTGTGTGATTGGTGTGTGGGTGGTGCTGCGTGTGATGGGGAGCGGTAGCGTAGTGGTTACCGAGCTGCACTACCAACCCGGTGACCCGAGTTCGATTCTCGCTCAAGGCCAACACCGGTGACGATTATCTGAACCGGTCTTGGGCCTCCCCTAGGTCGACTCAGCCTCAAATGAGTACCCGGTACGGTGTGTAAACATCGCCACTTGGGAGACAAAGGCGGCCGGGCGTGGTTGTTGGCCACCACCCCCTCATGTGCCGTGCCGGCCTTCATAGGTGCTCGCTAGCAGCACTTGCCCCTACAGTCTGTAAAGGCTACACGGGAGAGCTTTGTCTTTGATGCTGCGTGTGATGTGTGTGCGTGTGATGTGTGTGCGTGTGATGGGTGTGCGTGTGATGGGTGTGCGTGTGATGTGTGTGATGGGTGTGCGTTCGTGGGTGATGCCACTGCTACAGCAACTGCTGATGATGTTGCTACTGGTGATGGTGCGCCTTATGCTGCTGATGATGATGCTCAGGATGATACTCATCATCAGTGTAATACTGCTGCTGATGATGATGAAATTGTGACGGCATGCTTCGACACGGTGACGTCACGGACATCACATCTCTCGTCTTCACAGGGATGACCTCACCCCCATCCTCACTGCCCCCCATCGCCCCCCCCCCATTGCCCCCCCACCCGCCCCTCACCCCGCCCCTCACCCGCCCTTCCTACTGCAGAAATAAACAAAACACAAAGACAAAGGTCCCCCGTGTATCCTGCGCAGGCTGTTGGGGCAAGCGCTGTCAGCGAGCGCCTATTAAGGTCGGCGCAGGGCTCGGAGTGGGGTGTGGGTGGGGGGTCCAGACACACAAATAGAGACAAAGCGCCCCGTGTAGCCTCTCGCAGGCTGTGGAACACAACTGACATTGAAATACACACGCACAGCCTCGTACAGCCTTTAACAGACTCTTCAAATAATCGTCACCGGCGGTGGCCGTGAGCGGGAATCGAACTCGAGTCGCCGGGTTCGTAGCGCAGCGCGCGAATCGCTACGCAAGCGCTGCCCCCACACACACACAGACAGGATAAAGACAAAGATCCCCCGTGTAGCCTGTGAGACTGTAGGGGCAAGTGCTGTTAGCGGGCACCTATGTTTACACCCTGCACAGATACACCACGCCCTTATGCCCGGCACACAGAACAACAACCAACACCAAAGGCAAAGCTAAAGCTCCGCCGTATAGCCTTTAACAGACTGTAGGGGCAAGTGCTGTTAGCGAGCAGCACCTATGAAGACCGGCACGGCACACGAGGGGGTGGGTGGCCAGCAACCACGCCCGTCCGCCTTTGTCTCCCTCGTGGCGATGTTTACACACCACCGCACCAGGTACTCATTTAAGGCTGAGTCGACCTAGGGGAGGCCCAGGTACCTGTTCAGATATTCGTCACCGATTATTGGTAGTCGTGAGCGGGAATCGAACTCGGATTGCGGGGTTTGTAGTGCAGCGCGCTAACCGCCTCACCACCGCTCCCCACAACAACCAACACAACAACCACCACAACAACCACCACAACCACCACCACAACCACCACCACAACCACCACCACCAACCGTTCCCACGTGATATCTGCGGACCTCTCATTCTATGAGTGCTCGCGATTCAATTACAGAATCCATGTTAAATTTATATTTTTAAAACACTGTGAATGTAGCAGATTCAAGTGGCCGGATCAGGTCACGTTAATACATTTATATAATCAGCATCATCACCGGCCATGGTAAATCCACTGCTGTCACTCTAAAGAAGCACCATTGCCCGAAACGTCGCCTATTGCATATTTTATTTATCTTTTAAAGGCCGCGGTGTTTTTTGTGTGTTCAAGGTGGACCAGCTGTCTTGTGAGCCCCATTTAATTAACACTGAACGTGTTTTTGAGTAACTTTTATTAGAAACAGAAATTAATATGCAACGGGAACAACATGTTACGGGTCAATTAATTGGGGGGTCATAAGAATCACAATATGTATTTATAGTGCAGGAGGAATCCGATGAGCTATAAAGCTCTTTTCACAGATGTCCAGTAGGGACGGGTACGCACGTCACAAGACATCTGGACCGCCCTGTTTAGTCGGATTGTTATTTGCGCTACGGCCTGTGTGCGCGTGTCCGTCTCGTATGTGGAAAAAGCGCTTTATAGCTCATCGGATTCCTCCAGTGTCAACAAATATTCCGCTTCTGATTGTGCGTGTCGCGGGGATGAGGACTCGCTCTCTTCGCCGCCGGGTGCGCGCGCTCCACGCGGAGCGGCGGGTCGCGGACTCGAGCGAGAGAGGACCCACGCCGTGGAGACGGAGCGACGAAATGGGCTCAGCTGCTCGTGAGCAGCAGCAGCAGAGGAGACGGCTCCACCCGAGGACGCGCGCAAGTGGGGAGAGTTTCGATGTGTGTGTGTGTCTCTCTCTCTGTGTGTCTCTCTCTGTGTGTCTCTCTCTCTGTGTCTCTCTCTCTGTGTGTCTCTGTGTTGTCTCTCTCTCTGTGTCTCTCTCTGCTTGTGTGTCTGTCTGTGTCTCTCTCTCACTGTGTGTCTCTGTGTTGTCTCTCTCTGCTTGTGTGTCTGTCTGTGTGTGTCTCTCTCTCTCTGTGTCTCTGTGTTGTCTCTCTCTGCTTGTGTGTCTGTCTGTGTGTGTCTCTCTCTCTGTGTCTCTCTCTCCCTGTGTCTCTCTCTGTGTCTCTCTCTCTGTCTCTCTCTGCTTGTGTGTCTGTCTGTGTGTCTCTCTCTCTGTGTCTCTCTCTCTCTGTGTCTCTCTCTCTCTGTCTCTCTCTGTGTGTCTGTCTGTGTGTGTCTCTCTCTCTCTGTGTCTCTGTGTTGTCTCTCTCTGCTTGTGTGTCTCTCTGTGTCTCTGTGTTGTCTCTCTCTGCCTGTGTGTCTGTCTGTGTGTGTCTCTCTCTGTGTGTCTCTGTGTTGTCTCTCTCTGCTTGTGTGTCTGTCTGTGTGTGTCTCTCTCTGTGTCTCTGTGTTATCTCTCTCTGCTTGTGTGTCTGTCTGTGTGTGTCTCTCTCTCTGTCTCTGTGTTGTCTCTCTCTGCTTGTGTGTCTGTCTGTGTCTCTCTCTCTCTCTGTGTCTCTGTGTTGTCTCTCTCTGCTTGTGTGTCTGTCTGTGTGTGTCTCTCTCTGTGTCTCTGTGTTGTCTCTCTCTGCCTGTGTGTCTGTCTGTGTGTCTCTCTCTCTCTGTGTCTCTGTGTTGTCTCTCTCTGCTTGTGTGCCTGTGTGTCTCCGTGTCTGTGTTTTGTCTCTTTCTCAAATTTAGCAATCTTTGGAAGAACGTAATCAACCAGGTAGGGTATTGACTGTTGTGTTAGCCGACTCTCTTTGTTGTATTGCATTGTATTTCTATGTTTACTAGGCTTGTTTTCTCTTTCATTCCTACCTGATGATGATTGCTTGTGTTGCAATCGAAACGTCGTATGCTATTATGTAATTTATTGTTCTTTCTACGTGACTTTACCGAAAGAACCAAAGAGTAATTCCTGCAGTCACGAAAGCTCCAAATCAAGTTTGAGTCTCGATGGTCTCGATGCGCTGGACGAGCCCTGCGAATCGACGGGAGTCGATGCTGGAACAGGAGATCATTGCACCACGCGTTAAAGGTTTGGTGGCAGTGGAGGAGGGAGGGGAGGGAGGAGGGAGGGGGATTTCGAGAGCAAAAGGGGGAGGGAACTTGAGAGGTTTTTGTGTGGGGGCGAGATAGTGGGGGGGGGGGGGGGGTTAAGAGAGTGGTGGGGTGGGGGGTGGTTGGGGGGGGGGGAGGTTGTGGAGGGGGGAGTGGGGGTGAGAGGCTAGGGATAGGGAGGGGGGATAATGGTGTGTGGGGGGGGGCAGACAATTGAATACTTTTGGATGGCAATTGATGAGGGGGGGCGGGTGGAGAAGTTTGGAGGGGGGGGGGCATTGTGGGTGGGTGGGGGGTTAATGGAGGGGAGAGATGTGCTGGGATATTGGATGGAAGTGCGGTGGGATGCTAATGAACGGGTGAGGAGGAGCGGGAGGTGGGATGAGGGGAGGGAGGATCGGGGTGGATGGGGGTCCGCGTCACATCGCGCTCGCCGCTCTCATTCCGCGCACGTTTCCCCTCCCTCCCCGCGGCAGCGGCAGGTGCAGCAGCAGCAGCGGCAGCAGCAGCAGCAGTAGCGGCAGCGTCGTCGCGTTTCGCTCCTCCGTCCGTGGGCCGTCTCGAGCCGTCGACTGGAGCGACGTCTCCGTCACGTGGTGCCCCCCCCCCACTCGCTCGTCCGTGCGCGGTGCTGCGCGCATCGCCATCAGCAACATCAGCACCACAGTCACCACGCCCCACGCCCCTGTCGCTAGCATCTCCCTCTCCTCCAATCGTCATCAGCATCATCCCTATCACTGACACCTTCACCACCACCATCACAACCATCAGGTCCCCATCACCAACCGCAACACGCATCGCCGATTCACATCACCCATCATCCCCACTCACATCCCTCATCATCACCGGCTTCGTCACACACGCCCATCATCCCTACACCCATCTCCATCGTCACACGCATTCATCTCCACCACCACCACCAGCCATCATCCATCACCCCATCGCCGCTTCCTCGTGATCTCACATCTCGCTCTTTGCCCGCGGGGAGAGGGTGGGGGTGGTGCCGGTCGAGAAGCCGTGGCGATGTCGGCAGGAGAAGCGAGCCCCGCGCAGGTGGAGAATGGAGGCGATGCAGCTGAGACGGGAGTAGCGGGAGGAGCGGGAGGCGGTGGGGCTGGAGAAGCCCCCGTGGACCCGAGGGAGCTGGAGGAGGCGTTCCGTCGCTTCGCGCTGCACGGAGACCCCAAGGCAAGCGGCGCGGAGCTGAACGGCAAGAACTGGGCCAAGCTGTGTCGCGACTGCCGCGTGGCGGACGGGAAGCGCGTCACGGCCACCGACGTGGACATCGTCTTCTCCAAAGTCAAGTAAGCGAGCGCCACCGCCCTCGTGATGATGTTGGTGCTGCTGATGATGTTGATCGCGATGCTGGTGGTGGTGATGTTGATCGTGATGCTGGTGATGTTGATCGTGCTGCTGGTGGTGGTGATGTTGATCGTGATGCTGGTGGTGGTGGTGATGTTGATCGTGATGCTGGTGGTGGTGATGATGTTGATCGTGATGCTGGTGGTGGTGATGTTGATCGTGATGCTGGTGCTGATGATGATGTTGATCGTGATGCTGGTGCTGATGATGTTGATCATGATGCTGGTATTGGTGATGTTGGTGATGGTGCTGTTGGTGGTGGTCACCAATGTGATTGTGGAGGCGGTGTACGAGGTGATGGTGTTAAAATGGGATCATGGTGGAGATGCTGATGCTGGTGCTGATGATGATGTTGATCGTGATGCTGGTGCTGATGATGTTGATCATGATGCTGGTGGTGGTGATGTTGGTGATGGTGCTGTTGGTGGTGGTCACCAATGTGATTGTGGAGGCGGTGTACGAGGTGATGGTGTTAAAATGGGATCATGGTGGAGATGCTGATGCTGGTGCTGATGATGATGTTGATCGTGATGCTGGTGCTGATGATGTTGATCATGATGCTGGTGGTGGTGATGTTGGTGATGGTGCTGTTGGTGGTGGTCACCAATGTGATTGTGGAGGCGGTGTACGAGGTGATGGTGTTAAAATGGGATCATGGTGGAGATGCTGATGATGGTGGTGCTGGTGGTGGTGCTGATGATGGTGGTGCTGGTGGTGGTGCTGATGGTGATGTTGATGATGGTGGTGCTGGTGGAGGTGGTGGTGATGCTGATGATGGTGGTGCTGGTGGTGGTGCTGATGATGGTGGTGCTGGTGGTGGTGCTGATGGTGATGTTGATGCTGGTGCTGGTGGTGCTGGTGGTGCTGATGATGGTGGTGCTGATGATGGTGGTGCTGGTGGAGGTGGTGTGCCAGGTGTGGGGTTGTGGTAGTGCAGCGGTTAGCGCTACGCTGCGCTACGAACCCGGCGACCCGAGTTCGATTCCCGCTCACGGCCAACACCAGTGACGATTATCCGAACCGGTCCTTGGCCTCCCCTAGGTCGACTCAGCCTCAAATGAGTACCTGATGCAATGCGTAAATATCGCCCTTGGGGAGACAAAGGCGGCCGGGCGTGGTGCTGACCCCTCGCGTGCCGTTCCGGCCTTCATAGGTGCTCCTCGCTAACAGCACTTGCCCCCAACAGTCTTACGGCTATACGGGGGACCTTTGTCTTTGGTGTTGGTGGAAACGCTGATGGTGCTGGTGGAGAGAGCAATGATGCTGACGTTAGCCACCAATGACGACGTTGACATTAGACGATGGCTGTGGAGCAGGGGTGGGGAAACTTTTTTCTGCCAAGGGCCATTTGGATATTTGTAACATCATTCTCGGGCCATACAAAATTATCAACTTAAAAATTTGCCTGTTATATTTGATCAAACATTTAATTAACTCGCCCCTAATGCGATGACTGGAACTGCTTCTCTTTGGCGAGGCGTGGTGATGATGTTAGCTGGTATTGATGATGTTGCTGCTACTCGCAACTGCTTTTCCAGGTTTGCTCCTAGATTTATTGAATTTCGAGTCCCGCCTGCGGTTGCCTTGGCAGGGTCACACCAAATTATTTCGCGGGCCTCACACGGCCCGCGGGCCGGACATTCCCCACTCCTGCTGTAGATGATTGATGATGACGATGCTTTTGACCTTATCCGCCACAAAGGTTGGCAGCTGACGACGACGATGATGACGTTCGCCATTATGATGACGCTCTCCCTGCAACGAAATCCATGTGACACTCCAGCCATTAAAACGACAGCAGATGACAACGGAGGGGAGGCCTTCATTCATCCAGCAGTGGATCGACCATGGCTGATGACAATGATATCGACGTCGGCGACGTTATCCACACATCGCAGTTTCAATTAATCGCTTCCGGCGCGCGTGATTGGTCGTCTGTCCGTGCGCGCGCGCGCTGAACTTCTTTCGCACCGTACGTAGCCATCCGCGCTCGGAGGTTCAGATGGCTCCGTCGGTCCTCGGGCGCCGCCCTGCGGCAGCTGGGACTGAGCCTGCGTCACGCAGAGATCGATCGATCGCTGCGTCACGCAGAGATCGATCGATCGCTGGGGCTGAGCCTGCGTCACGCAGAGATCGATCGATCGCTGCGTCACGCAGAGATCGATCGACCAATCGCCTCGCTCAAGCTCATGACGACAGCCACGTGAAAGAACGCGCGCGGCAGTGAGCCGTAGCCGTCGGCGGTGGTGATGTTGTGGATGGCGATGTTGGCGATGTTGTGGATGGCGATGTTGGTGATGTTGTGGATGGTGATGTTGTGGATGGCGATGTTGGTGATGTTGGTGATGTTGGTGATGTAGTGGATGGCGATGTTGGTGATGTTGGTGATGTAGTGGATGGCGATGTTGGCGATGTTGTGGATGGTGATGTTGGCGATGTTGGTGATGTAGTGGATGGCGATGTTGGCGATGTTGGTGATGTAGTGGATGGCGATGTTGGTGATGTTGTGGATGGTGATGTTGTGGATGGCGATGTTGGCGATGTTGTGGATGGTGATGTTGGCGATGTTGGTGATGTAGTGGATGGCGATGTTGGCGATGTTGGTGATGTAGTGGATGGCGATGTTGGTGATGTTGTGGATGGTGATGTTGTGGATGGCGATGTTGGCGATGTTGGTGATGTAGTGGATGGCGATGTTGGTGATGTTGTGGATGGTGATGTTGTGGATGGCGATGTTGGCGATGTTGGTGATGTAGTGGATGGCGATGTTGGTGATGTAGTGGATGGCGATGTTGGTGATGTTGTGGATGGTGATGTTGTGGATGGCGATGTTGGCGATGTTGGTGATGTAGTGGATGGCGATGTTGGTGATGTTGTGGATGGTGATGTTGTGGATGGCGATGTTGGCGATGTTGGTGATGTTGGTGATGTAGTGGATGGCGATGTTGGCGATGTTGGTGATGTAGTGGATGGTGATGTTGGTGATGTTGTGGATGGCGATGTTGGTGATGTTGTGGATGTTGTGGATGGCGATGTTGATGATGGCGATGTTGGTGATGTTGTGGATGGCGATGTTGGTGATGTTGTGGATGCAAAATTGTTGGTGATGTTGTGGATGGCGACGTTGGTGATGTTGTGGATGGCGATGTTGGTGATGTTGTGGATGGCGATGTTGGTGATGTTGGTGATGTTGTGGATGGTGATGTTGTGGATGGCGATGTTGTCGATGTTGGTGATGTTGTGGATGGCGATGTTGGTGATGTTGTGGATGGTGATGTTGTGGATGGCGATGTTGTCGATGTTGGTGATGTTGTGGATGGCGATGTTGGTGATGTTGTGGATGGCGATGTTGGTGATGTTGTGGATGGTGATGTTGGTGATGTTCTGGATGGTGATGTTGGTGATGTTCTGGATGGCGATGTTGGTGATGTTGTGGATGTTGTGGATGGCGATGTTGTGGATGGCGATGTTGTCGATGTTGGTGATGTTGTGGATGGCGATGTTGGTGATGTTGTGGATGGTGATGTTGTGGATGGCGATGTTGTCGATGTTGGTGATGTTGTGGATGGCGATGTTGGTGATGTTGTGGATGGCGATGTTGGTGATGTTGTGGATGGTGATATTGGTGATGTTGTGGATGGTGATGTTGGTGATGTTGTGGATGGCGATGTTGGTGATGTTGGTGATGTTGTGGATGTTGTGGATGGCGATGTTGATGATGGCGATGTTGGTGATGTTGTGGATGGCGATGTTGGTGATGTTGTGGATGCAAAATTGTTGGTGATGTTGTGGATGGCGACGTTGGTGATGTTGTGGATGGCGATGTTGGTGATGTTGTGGATGGCGATGTTGGTGATGGTAGTGGGGAGCGGCGGTGTAGCGGTTAGCGCTACGTTGCGTTACGAACCCAGCGACCCGAATTCGATTCCCGCTCACGGCCAACAGCTGTGACGAGTACCTGGCGCGCTGTGTAAAAACATCACCACTAGGGAGACAAAGGCGGCCGGGCGTGGTGCTGGCCACCCACCCCCTCGTGTGCCGTTCCAGCCTTCATAGGTGCTCGCTAACAGCACTTGCCCCAACAGTCTGTTACAGGCTATACGGGGGATCTTATTCTTTGCTTGTTAGTGGAGGTGGTGGAGGTGGGGGTCACCGTGGTGATGGTGGTGGTGATGGTGATGGTTGTGGTGATGGTCGTGCTGGTGGTGGTGGTGATGGTGGTGCTGGTGGTGGTGCTGCTGGTGGTGATGGTGCTGGTGGTGGTGCTGGTGGTGGTGCTGCTGGTGGTGCTGGTGGTGGTGGTGATGGTGGTGGTGGTGGCGGTGGTGAAGGTGTTGGTGGTGCTGATGGTGGTGGTGCTGGTGGTGCTGGTGGTGCTGGTGGTGCTGGTGCTGGTGATGTTGGTGGTGCTGATGGTGGTGGGGCTGGTGCTGGTGATGGTGGTGGTGATTTCCGTATTTGGTGGAGGGGCAAGGTCCCTCACATTAAGCATCGCGGGTGCATTTAATACATTTATTTTTAATATTAATTATTAACTACTGAAAATAAATTAATAAAGGTGTCCAGTTTGCCCCGCCCCCCCCCCGCAAACTCCGCCCATGACAGAGCGAACGAGCGGCCCCCTCCCTCGCCACCGGCCTCATCCTCAGAGGCCCTCGACTCTCTCTCTCTCTCTGTGTGCCCCCCACTGTCATCCCTCTGCTCCCTATCCCCCTCAATCTTCATTCCTCTCTCTCTCTCTGCGTATGCGCACGACCTTTATTTATATTAAACTGAAACTGTTTTAAAACATATTTTATTTTACCAGGTAAGTGCCCCCCTGCGCCACGTAGCTTTTTGCTATCGCAACTGATAACTCAAACACGTGGCTCGTCACGTAAACATGGATAGCAGCAGCAGCAGCCAAATCATCGAAACGCGTGGTGATGTTGATTCCAAATGTGCATAGAAAAACCGGAGGACCCGGAGAAAAATCCACGCAACCACGGGGAGGGAGAGACACCGCAAACTCCGAATAGACAACAGCAGCAGCAGCAGGGACCGAACCCACGTCATCGTGTATACCAGGCGAGGTAGTCAACATCCTTGCCGTGCCCCCCCCCCCCACTCCCCAGGGAGCGCACGGCGCGAGTGATCACGGTCCCACAGTTCCTGTCGGCGCTCGAGGAACTCTCCCGCAAGCGCTTCCCCAGCCGCGAGCCGGAGCACGCGCTGAGAGGGGTCCATGGGCTGGTGGCGGGGGGAACGCCCGCGATCGCGGGGGTCACGGTACGGCAAACAACAACAACAACATTGTCATCGTCAAGAATAACAACAACAACAATAACAACATCGTCAACATCATCGAAAATATAATCAACAATAACAACATCAACAACATCAACATCGTGAACAACATCATCATCAACATCAACATCATCAACATCATCAACAACATCATCATCACCAACGTCATCATTAACACCATCAACAACATCAACATCGTGAACAACATCATCAACATCATCATCATCAACAACATCATCATTAACAACATCAACAACATCACCATCATCATCAACAACATCATCATTAACAACATCAACAACATCACCAACATCATCATTAACACCATCAACAACATTAACATCGTGAACAACATCATCATCAACATCATCAACAACATCAACATCATCAACAACATCGACATCATGAACAACAACATCAACAACAACCGCTCTGCCCCCCTCTGCCGCTCATAAATACGAGGGAGGGGAGGGAGGGGGGGATCTGCCCTTGGGGGGCTCCCAGAACCTAATGTGCGGCACTGACAATCACAACAACAACAACATGACAACAATAGCACAACAACAAACAGCGGCATAACCGCGACACAATCACAACAGCGTGGACAACAGCATTACAAACACAGCAACATCAACAGCACAATAACAGCACAACACCACAGCAGCACCACAGCACAACAGCAGCACCACAACACAACAGCAGCACAGCACCACAGCACAACAGCAGCACCACAACACAACAGCAGCACAGCACCACAACACAACAGCAGCACAGCACCACAGCACAACAGCAGCACCACAACACAACAGCAGCACAGCACCACAGCACAACAGCAGCACCACAACACAACAGCAGCACAACACAACAGCACCACAACACCACAGCAGCACCACAGCACCACAACAGCAGCACAGCACCACAACACAACAGCAGCACAACACCACAGCACCACAGCAGCACCACAACACCACAGCAGCAGCACCACAACAGAACCACAGCGCAATAGCAGCACAGCAGCACAACAGCACCACAACAGCACAGCAGCACAACACAACAGCAGCACAACACCACAACAGCACCACACAGCACCACAACACCACAGCAGCACCACAACACAACAGCAACACCACAGCACAACAGCACCACAACAGCAGCACCACAACACAACAGCAGCACCACAACACCACCACAGCACAACAGCAGCACAACAGCAGCACAACACCACAGCAGCACCATAACACAACAGCACCACAACACAACAGCACCACAACACCACAGCAGCACCACAACACAACAGCAGCACAGCAGCACAGCCGCACTACAACACAACAGCAGCACCACAACACCACAGCACAACAGCAGCACCATAACACAACAGCACCACAGCACAACAGCAGCACCTCAACACAACAGCACAACAGCAACACAGCACAACAGCAACACAACACCACAGCAGCACCACAACACAACAGCAACACAACACCACAGCAGCACCACAACACAACAGCAGCACCACAACACAACAGCACCACAACACCACAGCGCAACAGCAGCACCACAGCGCAACAGCAGCACCACAGCGCAACAGCAGCAGCACCGTTACACGCTCAAAAACATCACACAACTCGTCACTTAAACGATGTTTACGGGGTAAGGCCCACTGAGCTGTGTGGCTAGTTTTCAGAAGCGACCTGGATATCATCACAAATGATAGCCCGAGGAAGTGGACATTCATCGCTGCCGAATACTCTAAACGCGTGACGTTGATTCTAAATGTGGAGGGGAAAACCGGAGGACCCGGAGAAAAATCCACAATAATTCACGCACGGTAATTAGTGACGCACGGTAATTAGTGACGCACGGTGATTAGTGACGCACGGTAATTAGTGACGCACGGTGATTAGTGACGCGCGGTGATTAGTGACGCGCGGTGATTAGTGACGCGCGGTGATTAGTGACGCACGGTGATTAGTGACGCACGGTAATTAGTGACGCACGGTAATTAATGACGCACAGTTGATGTTTCTTGGGGGCTCAGGCCACGTAACCATGCGACGAGACGTGCGCCGTTAAGAAGCCCTCCACCACCCGACGCGGCCACCGTCACCAGTGGCGTGGCCTCCACTCAATCGCTGGCGATGCTGAACGCCGGCGCGGCCCTGGAACTCCGCTCACGTGCAACGCTCAGCAGCAGGGGCAGGCACGGGGGTGCCTTGACCCCCCCCCCCCCCCCCCCCCCCCAGTGCCGGATGAAGCTCGTGCGGGGCCTCCAGCGTATGTTGTTATCAAGGGGCCCCACATTTAAAAAAACCCGAATATTAAAACAAATACACTTTTTAACTTGCATAGTAAAGTTATTGTGTTTATTCATTTGCTATGCCGCCGGGTAATACGACAAATCGCTAACCTTAAACACCCTGTCGTTCATAAAAGTTGAAGGCGGTATAGTACTGTAGTGATAGAGCAAGTGCAGAATCACTGAACCGGAATTGATGGCTTGGAAGCATTTAGCGCGGGGCCCTTGAAAGTGCGGGGCCCGAAGCATTTGTATGTTACTTATACAAAACGAGCTTTACTACCCGGCTTCACCCAGGACTTGGATTCACCATGGCCGGCCGCCTTTGTCCCCCCAGTGACGATGTTCACACACCACACGAGTTACTCGTATGAGGCTGAGTCGACCTAGGGGAGGCCCAGGACCGGTTCAAATAATCGTCACCGGTTTTGCCGTGAACGGGAATCGAACTCGGGTCGCCGGGTTCGTAGCGCAGCGTAGCGCTAACCACTACACTACCGCTCCGCCCACACACAAACGCGCGTGCGTCCATAGGTACACAAACACGCGCTTGCTGCAGACACACGCAACTTTCAGGGTGCGTACGGCAGTAAACGGCTCAAATAATAAAGCAATGCTGCGAGAAGAATGCCTTAGACCTGCAACACATTTGTATTTCACTTTATCCGCGATCAGCAGGCACACTCCGTTACGCTTCTGCACGCGGGTCACATGACAGATGTGACGTCACAGCTCACTTGCCGTGCAAAAATATATGCATTATTGAGCTCGCCCCCCCAAAAAATATATGAGTGTATTTTTATAATTTTCTGCATGGTGGATGGTCTGGAAAGTACCCACATGGCAAATTTCAAGTTTGTTGCATGTTGGGAAGTACGCTAAACATTTTGAACAGACACATTCACAACTTTGCCTTTTATATATATGGAGATATATATGCATTGATTATACATACTGGAAATAATGTCTATATTTTACTACACAAAGTAACCACGAGAGGGCGACATCGCATCGCTGCTCAAACCCCCGACTCGAATCTCTCCCTGTCCTTAAATCATCTCACCTGATTAAATCGTCTCACCTGGTTAAATCATCTCACCTGGTTAAATCGTCTCACCTGGATAAATCATCTCACCTGGTTAAATTATCTCACCTGGTTAAATCGTCTCACCTGGTTAAATCGTCTCACCTGGTTAAATCATCGCACCTGGTTAAATCATCTCACCTGGTTAAATCATATCACCTGGTTAAATCGTCTGACCTGGTTAAATCGTCTCACCTGGTTAAATAATCTCATCTGGTTAAATCGTCTCACCTGGCTAAATCATCTCACCTGGTTAAATCATCTCACCAGGTTAAATCGTCTCACCTGGTTAAATCGTCTCACCTGGCTAAATAATCTCACCTGGTTAAATCGTCTCACCTGGTTAAATCGTCTCACCTGGTTAAATCGTCTCGCCTGGTTAAATCGTATCACCTGGTTAAATTATCTCACCTGGTTAAATCGTCTCATCTGGTTAAATCGTCTCACCTGGCTAAATCATCTCACCTGGTTAAATCATCTCACCTGGTTAAATCGTCTCACCTGGTTAAATCGTCTCACCTGGTTAAATCGTCTCGCCTGGTTAAATCATCTCGCCTGGTTAAATCGTCTCACCTGGTTAAATAATCTCGCCTGGTTAAATCGTCTCGCCTGGTTAAATTATCTCGCCTGGTTAAATCGTCTCACGTGGTTAAATCATCTCACCTGGTTAAATCATCTCACCTGGTTAAATCATCTCACCTGGTTAAATCGTCTCGCCTGGTTAAATCGTCTCACCTGGTTAAATCATCTCACCTGGTTAAATCGTCTCACCTGGTTAAATCATCTCGCGTGGTTAAATCGTCTCACCTGGTTAAATCATCTCACCTGGCTAAATCATCTCACCTGGTTAAATAATCTCACCTGGTTAAAACATCTCAATTGGTTCAGTCGTCTCACCTGGTTAAATCATCTCACCTGGTTAAATCGTCTCGCCTGGTTAAATCATCTCACCTGGTTAAATCGTCTCACCTGGTTAAATAATCTCACCTAGTTAAATCATCTCACCTGGTTAAATCGTCTCACCTGGTTAAATCGTCTCGCCTGGTTAAATCGTCTGACCTGGTCAAATCATCTCACCTAGTTAAATCATATCACCTGGTTAAATCATATCACCTGGTTAAATCGTCTCACCTGGTTAAATCATCTCACCTAGTTAAATAATCTCACCTGGTTAAATCATCTCACCTGGTTAAATCGTCTCACCTGGTTAAATCGTCTGACCTGGTTAAATCATCTCACCTAGTTAAATAATTTCACCTGGTTAAATCGTCTGACCTGGATAAATCGTCTCATCTGGTTAAATCATCTCACCTGGTTAAATCATCTCACCTCGTTAAATAATCTCACCTGGTTAAATCATCTCGCGTGGTTAAATCGTCTCACCTGGTTAAATCATCTCACCTGGCTAAATCATCTCACCTGGTTAAATAATCTCACCTGGTTAAAACATCTCAATTGGTTCAGTCGTCTCACCTGGTTAAATCATCTCACCTGGTTAAATCGTCTCGCCTGGTTAAATCATCTCACCTGGTTAAATCGTCTCACCTGGTTAAATAATCTCACCTAGTTAAATCATCTCACCTGGTTAAATCGTCTCACCTG